GTCTTTAAAGACCGCTTCGTGTCGTCGTCCATCAAGGACCACCGCCGTCTCATGCACTCACAGTGCAGTGTGGCTCGTGAAACATCGCGTTGTGTTGTTGTTTCTAGATTTGAAGCTTTCGTGACTGCAAGGATTCATACTCTTTGGTGTTTTCGGTAAAGTCGCGTTGGTAAAATACAATTTTAAATAAAAGAAAACAACTCAATTAAATCACGACGTTTCGGAGGCAACACAAGCTTCCGTCTTCAGGTGGAACAGTCACAGCAAGATAGCTGCATCAAGATAGCTGCAAGATAACTGCATCACTTGATGCAGCTATCTTGCTGTGACTGTTCCACCTGAAGAAGGAAGCTTGTTTTGCCTCCGAAACGTCGTGATTTAATTTAGTTTTATTTTAAGTGTTGTGTTGTTGTGTTTGTTTTGCCGAATTCTAAGAGAGTTATGTTGGGTTGCCCGTGGGTTTGTGCCAGGGTCAGGGTGATTGGTGGCCAGGCGCTGGGGTCAACCTTGGAGACATTTGGGGCGAGGGTTTTGGGTTCCATGCCGTAGAGTTGCTCGCTAAGCCCGAGTCCAGCTCTTTATCGCCTCTCATCCCCCGGAGCGCACTGCACGCAGTCGGCACAAATGAACACCTCCTCACTGCGCATTGTCCCTCCTCATCCTCCTCCGCCTCCTCCTCCTCCACCTCCTCCTCTTCTGCCTCCTCCACCTCCTCCACCTCCTCTATCTCCTCCACCTCCTCCACTTCCTCCTCCTCCACCTTCTTCTCCTCCTCCACCTCCTCCTCCTCCGCCCCCTCCTCCACCTCTTCCGCCTCCTCCTCCACCTTCTCCGCCTCCGCCTCCTCCGCCTCCTCCTCCGCCTCCTCCACTTCCTCCGCCTCCTCGTCGTCGTCACGTATCTCCGCGCCGCGCCCGTGTCAACCTGACACCGCGAGTCGCCGCGCGTGTTCACGCGTCCTGTCCTGTTCCCTCCGCGTGCCCGTGCGTGGTGGGGGTGGGAGGAGGGGGGTGGTCGGTGCTCACTAACGGCACTTGCCCCGACAGTGTGTTGCAGGCTATACGGGGTAGCTTTGTCTTGTTCGAGGGGGGGTGTAGCGGTTAGCGAGCTGCGCTACGAACCCGGAAAGCCGGGTTCGATTCCCCGCTCACGGCCAAACTGGTGACGATTATCTGAATCGGTCCTGGGCCTCCCCTAGGTTGACTCAGCCTCAAATGAGTACCTGGTGCGGTGTGTAAGACATCGCCACTGGGGAGACAAAGGCGGCCGGGCGTGGTGCTGGCCACCCCACCCCTTCGTGTGCCGTGCCGGCCTTCATAGGTGCTCGCTAACAGCACTTGCCCCTACAGTCTGTTAAGACTATACAGGGGCTCTTTGTCTTTGTACAGGTGGGGGTGGGGGGCACGCACCCTCGACTGAACGAAGTGAAAACAACTTTGAATATTGTGGTGGGGGGGGGGGGTGCAATCATTGGTGAGCGGTCTGAGACCATCAGCACACGACGACTGAGCGACTGAAACACGGCGTTAGAAGATGCCGTCTCAGCTGTCTCTGACATGGCTATTGTGATCCGCGACCCTCACCACCAACCACCACCCCCGCCACCACAGCCAACTCCTGGATCTTGAAATGCCCCCCACGTGCACGCGCGTGCAGTGACGCTGATGACACGCGGGGCGGCGCCATCGTCCAACAGATGGGTTGCTTCCCGTGAGGCGCGTGATGGTGATGATGGTGATGGTGGTGATGATGGGGATGGTGGTGATGATGATGGTGATAGTGATGATGGTGATGATGATGATGGTGATGATGGTGATGATGATGGTGATTGTGATGGTGATTATGATGGTGATGATGGTAATGATGATGATGGTGATGATGATGATGGTGATGATGGTGATGATGATGGTGATGATGATGGTGATGATGATGATGGTGATGATGATGATGATTGTGATGATGATGATGATGGTGGTGATGGATTGCCAATGACTCGATTCGTCAACAATTCATGTAAAATCCCTCCTGGGGGATGGGCCCTGGGCTCATTTCAAAATCATCGTCGACAATTATCGCCGTAACAATCGATGACTGTTAATCCGGCATTGTGATCGTGTGTGTGTGTGTTGAGCTTCTGTTGTTGTGTGGATGTGTTGGCTGTGTCTGGGCAGCAGTAGAGCAACGCGGAGTGCGCTGCACTACGAAACCCGCCCATCAGAACTCGATTCCCACTCACGGCCAACGCCAGTGACGATCATCTGAGCCAGTACTCCCCTAGGTAAATTCAGCCAGAAACATGAATACCTCGTGTGGTGGGTAAACATCGTCACTGAGGAGACAAAGGCGGTCGGGCGTGGTGCTGGCCACCCACCTCCTCGTGTACCGTGCCGCCCTTCATAGGCGCTCGCTAACAGCACTTGCCCCAATAGTCTGTTAGAGGCTATACGGGGGATCATTGTTTGTGTGTGTAAGTCGTAATGCGCGTGCCCGCCTTTGTGACTGTGCATCTGACAGTCATCTCAGTCAGTCAACCCCAAGGCACCTGGGTCTGTGCCGTGACCTCCTGCCAGCAGCGAGCCTTCAACACTTCACGTGGCCTCACAGTGCACCTAGCCTGGCACACGCTCTGTTATGACCTCACCGCCACTTAGTGGCGAATGGCGGCTGTTGTCGTTGTTTTGGCTGCGAGAAATATGCGAATGAACGCGTTGTTCAGGAACTGTTCTGTCGATGAGACTCGCACCAGCCATAGGATTGTGGAATTTCCACCACTGGCTATGAACATAGCGCTGAGAGATATCGCACACTCACGTTTGACTATGATAAAAAGTCGACAATATTTTCACAAATCGTTGCCGAATTTTTTTTTTAAACCTCCCCACCCACCATGTTGCGGTTTATTGGCCATACTTCACCGCGCTGGTCATCAGCGCTGGGTTTGTCGGTTCGCCGTGGTCTCGCACAGGGGCAGTCCAGATTATCACTCCCCCCCCAACTTCGTCCGCGTATGGCCCACGTTGATGTGCCGAGTATCAACTCCAGCATCGGATTGCGATGGGGCTGGTGGAGCCACACGATCATAGCCGTGAGCCGCGACTCCTGACCCAGGTTCGTAGCGCAGTCGCGCTCACCACTCGCGCCACCGCTCCACGCAATTAACGAATTGACTCGTCGACTGAATTTGCTGAGCGGGCTGGCCAGGATCGGGCAAAGCCGAGCGCCGCTCCCGTTTCGCCCAGCCAAACGGAGGCACCAGCGCAGAGTGAAGTGTCACTGACCCTGACATCAAAACTAACGGTGGCACATTTAAGAATCACAATTAAGAGAACCGTCACGCCGTGCAGGACGTGGCTATACAAAATAATACTTTTAATGTGAGCTATATATAAGAAAGAAAGACAAACTCGCTCAACAACAGCAATCCTGGCTGTCCGTGCTTTAGCAGCCTCAAACGAGACCTAGTTAATATATTCATTTATTCATCGTTCGCTCTTGTGACGTCGGAGGTGAGGGCGGTCGCAAGAGATTGATGTGGGAGTGGGGAGGTTGCACGAGACGAGGAGAGTGGGACCGCACGAGAGAGAGAGCACGAGAGAGAGAGCACGAGAGAGAGAGAGCACGAGAGAGAGAGCGAGAGAGAGAGAGCACGAGAGAGAGAAAGTACGAGAGAGAGAGCGAGAGAGAGAGAGCACGAGAGAGAGAGCACGAGAGAGAGAGAGAGTACGAGAGAGAGAGCACGAGAGAGAGAGAGAGCACGAGAGAGAGAGAGAGCACGAGAGATAGAGCACGAGAGAGAGAGCACGAGAGAGAGCGAGAGAGAGAGAGAGAACACGAGCTAGAGCGAGAGAGCACGAGAGAGAGAGAGAGAGCACGAGATAGAGAGCGAGAGATAGAGAGAGAGAGGGAGAGCACAAGAGAGAGAGAACACGAGAGAGAGAGAGCACAAGAGAGAGAGAGAGCGAGAGAGAGAGAGAGAGCGAGAGAGCACGAGAGAGAGCACGAAAGCGAGCACGAGACAGGGAGAGAGCACGAGAGAGAGAGAGCACTAGAGCGAGAGAGCGAGAGAGAGAGCACGAGAGAGAGCACGAGAGAGAGAGAGCGAGAGAGAGAGAGCACGAGAGAGAGAGAGCACGAGAGAGAGCACGAGCTAGAGCACGAGAGAGAGAGAGAACACGAGAGAGACAGAGAGAGCTCCCATGCCAAGGTGCACGTTGCTTGGTGGGGGGCCCAGGTTTGGGGGGGGCGGGGGGGGTGTTAGGGGCGGGGTTCCACCCTAGCATTTGTCTCAGAGTCTAAACCCCACCACTGCCAGCACACACCCACAAAGTGCCCTTCCCACCATCACCACCACCTCCATCAACTGAACTCTCCACTCATCAACCTCGTTCGAGGATGTCGCGTCCGGAGCGATAGTTGTCAGGGTCCAGTGAGCGAGTGTGTTACACCTTGAGATAAGATTATTTATTAGTTTACCTCCTGGCGTGAGAGATGCACGCGACGTGCAGAAGACGGAGAGATCCGCGCAGTAAGAGGGGACGTTTGGGCTGAGGAAGACGTCAATGAAGAAGCCTTGGGAGTCGTGGAATGTGTGAGTGGGTGTGAGTGGGTGTGAGTGGGTGTGAGTGGGTGTGAGTGTGAGTGAGTGCGTGTGACTGAGTTTGTGTTTGAGTGAGTGTGTCAGTGTGTGAGAGAGTGTGTGAGTGCGTGTTTCAGTGAGTGTGTGAGTGGGTGTATCAGTGTGAGTGAGCGTGTGAGTGTGTGTGAGTGAATGTGCGTGTGAGTGTGTGTGAGTGAGTGCGTGTTTCAGTGAGTGTGTGAGTGAGTGTATCAGTGTGAGTGAGTGTGTGTGAGTGCGTGTTTGAGTGAGTGTGCGTGTGTCTGAGTGAGTGAGCATGTGAGTGTGTTAGTGGGTGTGTTAGTGTGTGAGAGAGTGACCGTGCGAGTGTGTGTGTTAAGACTCTATGAGGGATCTTTGTCTACGTGTGTGTATGATCGTGTGTATGATGAGTGCGCTTTGTGAGTATTTGCGTGAGTGAGTGAGCGTCGCTATGGATGGACGTGAGCGTGAGTGTGAATGTCAAGGTGTGAGCGAGTGTGAGCGAGTGTGAATTCCCGGCACCGTTGCGAGATTGGACCCAGAGCGCCACCACCACCACCAGCAGCAGCTAAAGACCCGACATCGAACCGGACTCTCCAGGTAAGCAGTCACTGGAGTTCCATAAAAAAAAAATATTTAACATTTTTGTATCTAAAAATGCCCAACGATTTATTCGTTAAGTTGTAGTGCAGAGTGTGTGTCTCCGTGATACATTGTGAGTGTCTGTTTGCATGTGTGTGTTAGGCTAACAACACTTCCACACAACAGTGTGTTAAGGCTATACAGGGAATGTATATATGTGTGTGTGGGGAGCGGTGGCGCGGTGGTTAGCGCACTTGCGCTGCGAGCACGTCTGCCAGACCCACGTCGTGGCAATGACACCAGTACTGCAGGTCCTGGGCCCCCCGTAGACTGAGTGGACACATTTGTGAGTGTGCGAGCGAGTGAGCGTTAGAGTGAGTGTGATGTTGAGTGTGAGTGAGTGAGTGTGATGTTGAGTGTGATGTTGAGTGTGATGTTGGGTGTGATGGTGAGTGTGAGTGAGTGAGTGTGATGTTGAGTGTGAGTGAGTGTGATGTTGAGTGTGATGTTGAGTGTGATGTTGATTGTGAGTGAGTGTGATGTTGAGTGTGAGTGAGTGTGATGTTGAGTGTGATGTTGAGTGTGATGGTGAGTGTGAGTGAGTGAGTGTGATGTTGAGTGTGAGTGAGTGTGATGTTGAGTGTGATGTTGAGTGTGATGTTGATTGTGAGTGAGTGTGATGTTGAGTGTGAGTGAGTGTGATGTTGAGTGTGATGTTGAGTGTGAGTGAGTGAGTGTGATGTTGAGTGTGAGTGAGTGTGATGTTGAGTGTGATGTTGAGTGTGAGTGAGTGAGTGTGATGTTGAGTGTGAGGGAGTGAGCGTGATGTTGAGTGTGATGTTGAGTGTGATGTTGAGTGTGATGTTGAGTGTGAGTGAGTGTGATGTTGAGTGTGATGTTGAGTGTGATGTTGAGTGTGATGTTGAGTGTGAGTGAGTGAGTGTGATGTTGAGTGTGAGTGAGTGTGATGTTGAGTGTGATGTTGAGTGTGATGTTGATTGTGAGTGAGTGTGATGTTGAGTGTGAGTGAGTGTGATGTTGAGTGTGGGTGCGTGAGCGTTAGAGTGAGTGTGATGTTGAGTGTGATGTTGAGTGTGAGTGAGTGAGCTTGAGAGCGAGTGTGATGTTGAGTGTAAGTGAGTGAGTGTGATGTTGAGTGTGATGTTGAGTGTGAGCGAGTGAGCGTTAGAGTCAGTGTGAGTGAGTGAGCGTGATGTTGAGTGTGATGTTGAGTGTGAGTGAGTGAGTGTGATGTTGAGTGTGATGTTGAGTGTGAGTGAGTGAGCGTGATGTTGAGTGTGATGTTGAGTGTGAGTGAGTGTGATGTTGAGTGTGATGATGAGTGTGAGTGAGTGAGTGTGATGTTGACTGTGAGTGAGTGAGCGTGATATTGAGTGTGATGTTGTGTGATGTTGAGTGTGAGTGAGTGTGATGTTGAGTGTGATGTTGAGTGTCAGTGAGTGTGATGTTGAGTGTGATGTTGAGTGTGAGTGAGTGAGCGTGATGTTGAGTGTGAGTGAGTGTGATGTTGAGTGAGTGAGTGTGATGTTGAGTGAGTGAGTGTGATGTTGAGTGTGAGTGAGTGAGCGTTAGAGTGAGTGTGATGTTGAGTGTGATGTTGTGAGTGAGTGAGCGTGATGTTGAGTGTGATGTTTAGTGTGATGTTGAGTGTAAGTGAGTGTGATGTTGAGTGTGATGTTTAGTGTGATGTTGAGTGTAAGTGAGTGTGATGTTGAGTGTGAGTGAGCGTGATGTTGAGTGTGATGTTGAGTGTGATGTTGAGTGAGTGTGATGTTGAGTGTGAGTGAGTGAGTGTGATGTTGAGTGTGATGTTGAGTGTGAGTGAGTGAGTGTGATGTTGACTGTGATGTTGAGTGTGAGTGAGTGAGTGTGATGTTGACTGTGATGTTGAGTGTGATGTTGACTGTGATGTTGAGTGTGAGTGAGTGAGTGTGATGTTGAGTGTGATGTTGAGTGTGAGTGAGTGAGTGTGATGTTGAGTGTGATGTTGAGTGTGAGTGAGTGAGCGTTAAAGTGTGATGTTGAGTGTGATGTTGACTGTGATGTTTAGTGTGATGTTGAGTGTGATGTTGAGTGTGAGTGAGTGAGCGTTAGAGTGAGAATACGAGTGGGTGAGAGTGAGTGAGTGTGCGATTGAGGGTGAGTGAGTGTGAGAGTGAGCGTGAGTGAATGAGAGTGAATGAGAGTGAGAGAGTGAATGAGAGAGTGAATAAGAGTGAATGTGAGTGAGTGAGAAAGTGTGAGTGAGAGAGTGAGTGTGAGTGAATGAGAGTAAATGAGAGTGAGTGTGAGTGAGAGAGTGAGTGTGAGTGAGAGAGTGAGTGTGAGTGAATGAGAGTGAATGAGAGTGAGTGTGAGTGAGAGAGTGAGTGTGAGTGAATGAGAGTGAGTGAGAGAGTGAATGAGAGTGAGTGTGAGATAGAGAGTGAGTGTGAGAGCGAATGTGAGTGAATGAGAGTGAGAGAGTGAATGAGAGTGAGTGTGAGATAGAGAGTGAGTGTGAGAGCGAGTGTGAGTGAATGAGAGTGAATGAGAGTGAGTGAGAGAGTGAATGAAAGTGAGTGTGAGATAGAGAGTGAGTGTGAGAGCGAGTGTGAGTGAATGAGTGTGAATAAAAGTGAATGAGAGTGAATGAGAGTGACAACAACGTACACTGCCCATTCTCAATCCACTGCTGAATACCCCCCCCCAACCCCCTCTCCCCACTCTTCGATGGCTTGTTGGGTTGGTGGAGGTCGGTAAGCATTGCCACACGTAAGAATAGTCGTAGAGGATAACAAGCAACGGGGGTTTAATATGGACATCAGCGACCGATCGGGATACAACGCCGCCTCCACTCGCGTCGTTAGTTCGTGAGCTCGCCTCGGCCCGGCTCATCGAACTTAGCACGGGCAGTTGCGTAGCGTCACAGTGCGCTAACCGCTGCGCCACCGCTCCCCAAACGCAAAGAGCCGAGCGCAGACGCAGAGCGCTCGGCCTCAGGTCAATAGCCCCCCCCCCCCTGAACCCCAACCCCACATAGCCCCCCCCCCAAAACAATGTGTACTTGGACTTGCGGGCAGGGATGCAGAGTGTACACGAGCGTGGTGCTGGCCACCCGCCCCTTCGTGTGCCGTGCCGGCCTGCAGAGGTGCTGCGTGCCCGCGAACAGCGCTCGCCCCAACAGTCTATTTCAAACGCTATGCGGGGAATCGTTGTCGGGAGCGGTTCGTATATCGCATCAAGTTTTACGCACTGAGTGGCCAGCAACACAAATACGAAAATCCCCCCCCCCCCCCCCCCCCCCCCCCCCCCCCCCCCCCGTATAGCTTGCAACAGACTGTTGGGGAAAATTATCTCGTGTGAGTAGCACCGGCACTGGGCGAGTTGTCATCGGCACTGGGACGCGGCACATCAGCGACGCTCCCAGCCGCGAATAACAACAGCGGACAGATTGACACAGATTGGCAAGTGTTGGAGGCACTGTGGCCCATTGTGTGTGGTTGTTGTTGTTGTTGCTGTGTGAGTCCGTGTGTGTTTGAGTTCCTAGTGTGGGGGTAGCGGTGGGGTAGTGGTAAGCGCTACGAACCTGCTGTCCCGAGTTCTATCCCCGCTCGCGGCCAACACCAACAAGGGTTAACTGAACCGGTCCTGGGCCTCCACTAGGTCGACTCAGCCTCAAGTGGATACCTGGTGCAGTGTGTAAATATCACCACTAGGGATACAAAGGCGGCCGGGCGTGGTGTTGGCCACCCACCGGCCTTCATAGGCGCTCGCTCACAGCACTCGCCCCAAAAGCCCCACATTTGTGGAGGTGGTGGTGGTGAGTGATTTTGAAAGTCCATGCGCCACCTCAACGCAATTTAAACTATTCACAGCTTGGCCCTTGACTTTGCCCTTGAGCACACGGCGAGATAAGAAGAGTCCTACTCCTTTAGTCTTCCTTCACGCTCAACCTCACGTCAATCAAGGCTCAGAGCCCATTGCAGCAGCCAGCGACGAATCTCAGCCAGCGCTGACAGCTGTCACGGGAACTCCTCGACTCGTGGTGGGTCCGTCAGTTTCAACTTTACAGGTGGCCGGGTGGTTCAGCGGGTTCACAATGACCACGTGTCTTCTCAGATCCTAAAACTAAAACAAAAAATATTTCACCAGGCTCACTGAGCTATATATATTTGTTTTTTTCATTCAGAAGCGACCTGGCCATCACAAATGATAGCTCAACGAAGTGGCCTATCATGGGGAAATGTCAAGCACACTCTAAAAGCACGTTTTAAATGTGGAGGGGAAAAATCCACGCGATCGCGGGGAGAGAGACGCCGCAAACTCAAACATTAAACAGCAACAGGCGTCAGGGTCGGGATCGAACACACGACGACCTGCATGCCAGGCGAGGTCATTAACATCTCGCCGCGGGATCTCGGAGTCTGCGACATGGCCATTATGAACGCCACAAGGCGCCCAAGTCTAATTCGAAGATCCCAGTCTGACACTTCGACTCTTATCTCCTCATCCCTGTCACGCCCACCTCTCTCTATCTCTCTCTCGACGGCTGTCAGATCCCTGAGAGGTGCAAAGGGGACACTTAGCGACTGCCTTTAAAGTGATTTGAGAACCCAACTCTGCACCAGCCACCCACACGCGCCTCTACCACGTGTTTCTTTTTGTGTAACACGTTGTCTCAAGCACAGCGCCCAAAGAGCCGAAACGCCGAGCGGCCAGCAACAGACGGCACTCTTTTCACGCGTTACTTTGAATTGAGCAATGTTAGTGTTCGTATGCGAGCTTCGGGGGGAAGGAGAAAGTGGTGATGATGATGATGATGACGATGATGAGAGGAGGCAATTCCAAAGTGGGGCAGTGCGAGGGAAGACGCAGAGAGAGAGAGAGAAGTGAGGCGGCCTTCAGTGTGGCGAGTGAGTGCGTGAGTGAATAGGTTAGTGAGGAGTAAGTGAGTGAGTGAATAGGTTAGTGAGGAGTGAGTGAGTGAGTGAATAGATTAGTGAGGAGTGACTGAG